ACATTAATCGTGTTAATGTCAATGAAAAATCCTTTTCGATCTCTAAGTACTGTAGTCATAATGTAAGTTTTCTTTGTCTAGTTATTTCATATATTAATTTTGTTCCTGTAATTTCCAAGTTAATATATTTTGCAAAGCTGAATGTGGAAGTGAATATACAATCACTCAAACAGACACACACATGTTCACGCATTTAAATACGCCCCAACCTCCACAAACAAACACATATATACACACTATATATATATATATATATATATATATATATATATATATATATATATATATATATATATATATATATATATATATATATATATATATACATACATACATTTCATGTGCAACTTTGTAAGGCTCTTTCCTGAGTCAATGGGACTGTGTAATGAAGAAAGAATGCGTGAACTGGGCCTTACTACACTGGAGGAAAGAAGAAACTGAGTAGTCATGATAACAACTTGCAAGACACTAGGAGTATTTACAAAGTAGATATAGAAACAATGTTCAAATTAAGAATGAGTAGAACGAGAGGACATATTGGGAAACAGGAAACACACATACGACACAGGGTTGCCAGAAAAAACTTTTTTCAGTCTAGGAGTCGTATATGCAACGGGCTAAAATGAAGAAGTTATCGAAGCCAATTTGATTTATATTTTTAATTGTATATATAATAAGAAAAAAGACCAAAAAAAATCACTGCTTGACTAATGATAGTCGAAAGGCGGGGCTTCAGAGCATATACACGACGCTGCAAGCACAAATTGTGAGTACAACTAGGTGAGTACACACACAGACACACACACACACACACACACACACACACACACACACACACACACACACACACACACACACACACACACACACACACACACACACACACACACACACACACACACACACACACACACACACACACACACACACACACACACACACACACACACACACACACACACACACACACACACACACACACACACACACACACACACACACACACACACACACACACACACACACACACACACACACACACACACACACACACACACACACACACACACACACAGTTTCCAGATAATAAAACATTCCATAAGCCTCAAGTGTCTTTATTTTGATACACAAATCACAGTATGTCAATATAAATATAATATATATACAGAGAGAATAGCATTTGACTGATATATTGTGTGTGTGTGTGTGTGTGTGTGTGTGTGTGTGTGTGTGTGTGTGTGTGTGTGTGTGTGTGTGTGTGTGTGTGTGTGTGTGTGTGTGTGTGTGTGTGTGTGTGTGTGTGTGTGTGTGTGTGTGTGTGTGTGTGTGTGTGTGTGTGTGTGTGTGTGTGTGTGTGTGTGTGTGTGTGTGTGTGTGTGTGTGTGTGTGTGTGTGTGTGTGTGTGTGTGTGTGTGTGTGTGTGTGTGTGTGTGTGTGTGTGTGTGTGTGTGTGTGTGTGTGTGTGTGTGTGTGTGTGTGTGTGTGTGTGTGTGTGTGTGTGTGTGTGTGTGTGTGTTTGTTTGAGCAAGTGTGTATGAACATAATTTATTCTCGTTACAAGGGACTGAAGTGTGTTTATATGTGGCTTTAGTAAAAATCTGATTACGTCTTTATATGTATGTATGCCTGCATATTTCTATATATGTATGTATGTATGAATTTATGAATAATTAGCTATATGTGTGTGTGTATATATATATGTATATCAGAGACCCATGCAAATACTCGGCACCTTGGAAACTTTTCATAAATAGTATCATCAGTAATTACAAACAAGCGGACTGACATATTTAGGGACTTAAAAAATGGAGAAATAATACAATATATATATATATATATATATATATATATATATATATATATATATATATATATATATATATATATATATATATATATATATATATATATATAAAGAAAGCACGCAAGGAAAGGTATGTACAGTGGAAATTATGCAGAATGTATATATGTTTAACTCCGTAATGAAACTTCGTTAAATGAAATGGAAGTAAGATATTAGTCCAAAAAACTTGTCTGCGACAGCTCTGAAGCGGTATATTGGAATTAATGCGTTGCTGTATCGACGTTTAAAGCTGTGGAGGAAAATTATAATACATTGTTGTCCTCAATAATAATTCTAGATAACTGACAGGAAAAATCACTCAACCAAAATGTTTCAGTATTTACTGCTGGATATAACAAAAATGATATGAAATACAAATATTTATGAAACCTCTGGTAAATGTATTCGCTGGAATAATTGCAATAAAATACGTAGATCAAATAAGTACTATATAATATCCACTCGACAAATCGCTGTCATCCAACGTTCGAGATCAGTTTTATTAACATAGTTAATATCTCCTCTGAATGATCAGGCAATAAAATGAAGATGCTTTATATACTTTTTATCTAGCAATTTATATGCGAAAGTTTGTATTTAGTAAGTAAAAACTGTTTTATATATTACGGTTCATAAAGAAAAAATATTAATTTTAATGCTGCCTAATTTCCTCAGAAGAAATATTTATTCCTATGATGAGAGAAGTGTTGTATTATCGTATTTTTCGCAGTGTTTGTCAGCTCGAGCCCCTTGAAGTGGTCCATAAATCGTCAGCCTCGCTTAATACAGAGTGGGAAGGGAAGGGAACTATCGGGGGGAAAGCACCAAGCCATTACGACTGAATAGCACTTGGAAGGGGGTTAGAATACGGATTTGGGATGGGACGGGAGAAAAGAAATGGTGCCCAACCACTTGGACGGTCGGGGATTGAACGCTGACCTCCATGAAGCGAGATCGTCGCTCTACCGTCCAGCCCAAGTGGCTGGACTTAATACAGAATGGGCGTTCGGTTCCAGATGGTCCAAATGGTTGAGCACTTTTCCTTCATTTTGTCCTCCTATTCCAGCTTCTATTCTGTCTTCTGTCCTTATATCCCATCCATCATACTAGCCTAGCACTCTCTTAACATAATATCTCCACACTACCTGAGTGTTTATCATCGTGATTCTGTGAACTAATTGTCTCAAAACGAGGCAATTGTCTTCATGCAGGTCGGCGTTCAATCCCCGACCGTCCAATTGGGTGGCCATCATTCTTCCCCCTCATGCCCCATCCCAAATCCTTATCCCGACTCCTTCCTAGTGTTATAAAGGCGCTTGAAGCGTTCCCCTTATAATTAAAAAAAAAAATGATGAATCTTGACCAAGACATTTGAATTTGGAGAGAATAGGAAGAATATTTAAGAAGCTGGATAAAAGGTCAGATCTCAGGTAGCAGTCAAAGTGGAAACATATGTCAGTTCAAAGGCGGGGTCAAAGTGGAAAAGTCAAATCATAGACGGGTTGCTGATAAAAGGTCAGAGGTCAGGTCAAAGGTGGTTGTCAAGAAGGCTAAAATGTCAAGTTAACCATAAGGATCAAAATTGATTAGAGGTCATGTCAAGAGCAGGGGACAACGATGTTCAGAGATCATGTCTACAACATAGCACAAAGAGCAAAGTCGGTCAGGTCAATGGGGATGAGTCAATGAGAATCAAAGGTCAGATCACTGGCAGGAGTCAAAGACGATCACAGGTCAGGTCAACAGCACGGAGTTAAGGTGGATAAGAGGTCATGTCAACAGAGGAGATCAAGGAGAAAAAGAGGTCATGTCAACAGTACGACCCATGATGTGTCAGAGGTCAGGTCAACATCGGGGATAAAATTTTAGCGAATAACAAGAGATTTGGTACAAAAGTGAGGCTTTAGTATTTTTCATTACCCATTCCACTTGCTCCATCATTTCTCTTTCGCTTTATAATAAAAAATAAATTCCACCTTTCAAACGCTTATATTTCACATCCACTCCTTTTCCATCTATCCCATTCTTCTGTTTTTTCATCTCACCTACTATTTTCAAAACAGTGTCCTTTCTAAACCATGCGTAACAAAAACCTAAATTTTGCCTTGAAATTCAATTAATTTCATAACGTCATTGCCATTTTGTGAATACACTCTTTTTGAACTATAATTTGTTAGTAATATTAATTATGTTAAAAATAATGTGATAATAATTAATGTTGTTATAATCAATATTTTGAATAAGTTCACAAAATCTAAATTGCTCTTTGTTCATATATATATATATATATATATATATATATATATATATATATATATATATATATATATATATATATATATATATATATATATATATATATATATGCAACTGACGATCACGAAACACTGACTGATTTCAAAGCTTGAGTCTGGTGTTGACAACGGCCTTCATCGGCCGAAACGTTCATCTCCCTTTCCCATTTTTCTGTGGATTTTCCGCATACAAATGATCAGTGTTTCGTGGTTGTGGTTGTCAATTGCATATATATATATATATATATATATATATATATATATATATATATATATATATATATATATATATATATATATATGTCGTACCTAATAGCCAGAACGCATATATATTCAAGGCCCGATATATGAATAATATAACCTACCTAACCTAACCTAACCTAGCTTTTTTTGGCTACCTAACCTAACCTTATATATATAGGTATTATAGGTAGGGTTGGTTAGGTTCGGTCATATTTCTACGTTATAACTCCATACCTCATACATAGAGAAAAGGGTTGCTTTATTTCATAAGAAAAAAAATTATAGTAAATATATTAATTCAGGAAAACTTGGCTTATTAGGCAAATCGGGCCTTGATAGAAGTGAGTTCATAGGTACGCCTGCCTATATGAAAGGGCGATTGTGCACCTTGGTAATTACCAAGAGTTGAGAAACAAACTGGTTCTGATGTGATTAAGGCAATTACAGCTTGGGTTAGGGAGTTGCAACAAGCAATTAGAGTTGTTCGAGGAGATAGCGAGTGGAGATGCATGCAGGTGGAAGGCTTGGCTTGTTAGTTGGGTCAAAGGATAAAACGTATTTTTGTATATCCAGTCGTTACAGAGATGACTGTCTCGCTGCTCTCTCTCTCTCTCTCTCTCTCTCTCTCTCCTCTCTCTCTCTCTCTCTCTCTCTCTCTCTCTCTCTCTCTCTCTCTCTCTCTCTCTCTCTCTCTCTCTCTCTCTCTCGCTCTCTCTCCTCTCTCTTCTCTTCCAAGTTTCTCTAATCCCCTTCTGTTTTTCGTTCTCACCTTTACTCCCACTGGCTATCATATAGGATAGTTTTGTTAACATCACAGACTGAGCAGGTAATACCCCTTTGCACTTCCAAACTACTTCCCTTCTCTCATTCCCTCTCTCTCCTCTTCTCTCTTCCTCCCTTCATCCCTCTCTTCCTACCTTTCTCACTCCTTGTCTCCCTCCCTTTACCCTCTTCAATTCATCCTACCGGGCCTTCCCTCAGTAGGTAATTAATACGAATCACTGTCACTGTCCAACAGGGCGGCACCTAGCAGTCAGATACCACCCGCAGCCCACAATTAGTTTCTCTCTGTCTCTCTGTATCTCTCTCTCTCCCGATTCCCTCTCTCTGTCTCTCTCCCTCTCATTCTCTGTCTCCCTCAGCCTCTTTCTCTGTTTCTCGTTCTCTCCCTGTCTCTCTGCCTTTCCCTTTCTCTCCCTCTCTCCTTCTCCAGCCATATGTGATACTATACACAACAATCAATTCATCCCAAAATTTTCCAAAGACCAAATATAAGAAACCAATCGTAAGACATAAATAGGATTAAGTAAGAATACGATAGAGTTTTAATAGTAAGTAAATTGTAAAATTATATAAACTCATAAAAATAAAAATACTGTTATTCAATATTTATTTTTTTCTGATTGTTTATGTAAATAATAATAATAATAATAATAATAATAATAATAATAATAATAATAATAATGAAATATAATTAGTAATAATTAATAATAATAGAAAGACTACAACTATTATTCACCACTATTTTACAATGTATCAAATAAATGGATCGATGTATGGTATATCTCTTGAATATGTTTTCCAGAGATATACTTTACGGATATACGAAGCATATTCACAGCTAAATCGTCTCTGAGAAATATATTGAATTCAGCGTAGCATTTACGAGCTAGAAAATATAGAATATATATATCTTTCTTCCCGTGGTTATTTGATTTGAGTTCAACACGATTGGCATGAGTCATAGACGCCATGACTGTGCTCCCGACGATTATATAGATTACGTAGAAAAGATTTCTAAACACTTCACAGAAGGTAACCAAGTACTTCTATCAGATCACCTCCACGGGAGCTAAAGCGTTCAATCCGGTGTCGCCAGAATATTGCTAAAAATGCATCTTAAATGCCAAGAGTTTCCGAGTTGCAATGCACCCCATTCCTCTCCCACAACCCCTCCCCCCCCCATTCAACCTCAAATTAATTGCACGTCAGTGAATATGCAAATGACTGCACTCCTGCAATTCAACAGGTGTTCTGCATTTAAGACAAAATTTACATATAACCTTCAAATTTGCTGAGCAGCATTAGATAATCAGTGAAAATGGAGCTATCCGCGAGAATGTGGAGCATTCTTTAGTAAATTACAATAATCTGCGATAAAGAACGAAGAACTGAAGACCTTTTGGAGGTAGTGGATTAATTTTGAGTGCAATTTTTTATATATTAACAATTTTCATTGTTGCTACCGAATAATATTCACATATATTATAATTTCTATTAACACTGAATTAATTTTGTATAAATTTACTATAATTGATGGTCAGATTATTATTGCAAAGGCGTTAGCGAAATTTAAAGGGCAGTTGCTCAGTTTCCAACTACACAAGAATGGACACCCATTACATCTGATAGACTCCGAAATGCACTCTTGACATGGAACTCACTCAGTGGGGCCAGTACGAGCTCGCCCCTCAATCAGGCAACTTCTCTGGTCGTGGCTAGCCCGTGTATTCGTGATCCATTCACGCAAAATGAAAAAATCTTCCAAAATGTTCAATTTTTTTTTTATACTTCTGTTCTAAGCATTGTAATACTGGTGTCTCCTACACAAGCTTGTGATTGGTGGAGACGATAATCACGATAATTTCACTGGCTTCCACTGGCTTTCATTAGATTTCACAAAGTTTCATTAATTTTCCAATTACTTTCACTGGTTTTTATCACTCACTATATGCAGAAAGATAAAAAAACTAAATTTCTTTGCGTGTATTTCTTTTTTCTTCTAATTCTAATACTTTGTTTCCATCCAGCTATCTCTCCTTCACTTTTCCAATCATTTCACTTTTACATTTTACCGTATTCCCTGATTTCGTTACTCTGGTTTATTCACGTGAGAAAATCTGTATCAAAATATTACTTTTCTTAAGCTCAAAGCATTTTATAGATTTCTCATATGGTTATCTCAGAAAGAGTCCAGACTAGTGTCTTAGATGTGGTTAGTACAGAGAAAGAATGTCGGATCTACTCAAACAACAACTTAAAAACTCTTTCAAAGCACCGATATTATTGAATCTATTTCCATTATTCGAACTTACTTACGTTAGCAAATCTTGAGTGCACGATCGCGTCACACCGCCTTACACATTCTTATAAAATTTAAACGTACAGTATATGATTACAAGGTCTTATTTATTTAAGAAACTCAAGGCATTTCTTTTGGTTACCATCTCAATATATGCATTTCATTATCTCACTGGCCAAGGCTTAAATGAGCTTCACGTGCTAACTATTCACTTTCCGAACCACACATTTGGCTATGCTTTGATCTGTACCAAAATGCAAATTATTTATAGACTCTCTTATTTGTCCAAGAGCAAGTTTCCAAATTACCCTATCTCTCTTCGAGCACACGGCTGTCTCTCCCTGGTGTCGCCCGTGGTTCAAGGAGACACATGAAACTAACTACATCACTGCAAGGCACAGTCATAGGCGGGAGGACGACACTTAAGGTCCTTGACTGTCAAGTGCATGTATTCCTATAAGCAAAATCCGTTTTCTCTCTTTTTCTTTCCGAAGCTTTGAAGAACCCCTTCCAGGATTTATATTGAGCAAATTGGCTTCAATGAAATCTAGTTAATTTATTTTAATGTTGGATTGCCTATTAAATCTGTGAGTCATATTATGCACAGGGTAAATTCTGCTAAGTTCTCTCGCATTTTCTCACTGAAAGGGTCACAAATTTTATGTCATTGTCTGCAGTTCTGCTGTCTGATTGGTGAACTCTTAGACCAAATCGCGAATGCGACAAAATGCATTCGAGAAATATGTATTCTAAAGTCTTGGAAGCGCACTCGACATCTATCTGGCCAAGCTACGCGCTTCAAGACAAGTATGCGAATTTTCTAATATGTCGAAGCACCTCGAGGCATGCGCACGGGGAACAGCCAAGCACAGCCCGCAAAATCCACTATGGTTCTCCCCTCGGGCTATGTATGAACTGTTTGAAGGACGGTGGAGGCTACCCAGTTGGCGAGGCAAGGGGTTACTGAAATAAAGTCATCTTCTGAGACTCGACTTTGTCCATTCTAGACGATCCACTGGGTGAGGCATGACATAAAGGAAGTCAAATCGTCTTCTGTCTCATGTCTTTGATCATACAAGATGACCATGTATGCAAAGTGGACGACTCTGGATTCGTCATTTCATACTTGGCTTTAGCCAAACTGGACGACCCACGGTGGGGCGAAACGAGGAACTCCTGTTGCAGGGTCATCTTTTCCACGACACTGACCAGACTGGACGACCTTCAGTTGGCAGTCGTTGATTTTGTCTCACGGAATGTGAATGTTGGGGAATGATGCAACGGAGGACATGCGTGGAACAACGAGAGTAATTTGCTGTGTTGGCACAGTGTCGGTGGTGGGAGAGTCGACGTTCTCAACTGTAGGATAGGCAGACGAAGGAAGGACTTTAGTGGCCGAGTCGCCTATTGATCTATTAACTTATATCCATATAAATATGCACACTTATCATACGTAATGTATAAACGCATGCTTACTGTGTATAGGCGGCGGCGGCGGGTGTCTGCCTTCACCGTCTCCTGTAAACTTGTTGGAATTTGTCTCTTCCTCCTCGTCAGCTGCTTGGAGACCTCCACTGTTATTATTGTTGTTCTTCATGTTGTTTGTCGATACTATGGCTTCAGACGACCTCACATAGGGCGGGGGAAGCTTTGGAAACATCATACCCACAACTCCGAGCGCCGTCTGCGTATCGAAGAGTAGGCTGTTGGGTGGAACTTTAGCCTCCTTCTTGCTGTCGAAATCGGTATTAGCGACGGACGGATCAGAGCTGGATGAGGCCATGATACCCAGCGTGGACGCTATGTAGGCCCCCGGGGACGCCAGAGACTCGCAAAGAGAAGCCATTCCCCGACCAGCTAGTGCCGAGCCGGAGGAAGTTCTTCGGGCCAGGATGGAACTTCCCGAGCTGAAGGTCGCCGAACGGGGCTGTGGGATGGAGGGGAAATAAAAGCTTAGGGTTCGTCAGGCGTTTTTATCTGGACACAAAGTATCACAGTTTACTCTATCCAATGTAACGCTGAGCTTATGGAAGGTAGGAAGGAGGTCGGATCAGGGCACGAAGAACTAAGGATCAGGATAAATCAAGTCAGAAAAAACATATCAAGTTGTATCAGATTAAGCTACATAAGTTCAGGCCAAAGATACATGTGTCAAGGAATTTACAGAAGACAGTTCCTGAGGCAAAATCATTCATAACAATGCACGTGTATGACAAGTTATATATCAACAAACTATCGGAGCAAACGTTTTTGTTAATATAAGGCTTTTGACGCCAATTGTTAAGCTTGGGTTTGACGACTGGCCAAACGGGAGAAAAGACTGGACAATGGGGTTATGTGGCTAATCTAGAGGGTGATAGGACTAATTTAGGAAGAGGTGAGAGGACCGATTTATGTGGTGATAGAACAAGTTCAAAAGGTGATTGGACCCGTTCAAGTGATAAAGGGTCGATTCAAGTAATGAAAGGGGCATTTCATATGGCATGCTTAGACGGCCCCAAGTAATGAGGAAACATAACACATGAGGTGATTGCACTGGCCCAAAGGGAAGTTGATAGCACTGGCTCTAATGCTCGGGAGGTGGGATGATAGCACTGGCCCTAATGGGCGGTGGGAGAGGTGATAGCACTGGTCCTAATGGGTGACGGATGGGGTGATAGCACTGGCCCTAATGGGTGGCAGGTGGGGTGATAGCACTGGTCCTAATGGGTGACGGATGGGGTGATAGCACTGGCCCTAATGGGTGACGGATGGGGTGATAGCACTGGCCCTAATGGGTGGCAGGTGGGGTGATAGCACTGGTCCTAATGGGTGACGGATGGGGTGATAGCACTGGCCCTAATGGGTGGCAGGTGGGGTGATAGCACTGGTTCTAATGGGTGACGGATGGGGTGATAGCACTGGCCCTAATGGGTGGCAGGTGGGGTGATAGCACTGGCCCTAAGTGGGGGTAGGGTGGGGTGACAGCACTGGCCTAAATTTGTGATAGCACTACCCAAAATATTGAATAGTAGTGGGCCTTGAGGATCTTCATATGACCCAGGTGGATTCCTTTTACCTGCAAGTGAACCATGGATTCTCCCTGTCGACGTGGACTCTTGAACAAGGAGGAGGTGACGACAGCCGGGTCCAGAGCTGGTGGGTGAAGTGGCGTAGGAGAGCTGCTGTAGTAGGACTCGCATCCTGTTGGAATAATACACTGAGAACGGAACATTTGTCCTTAGAGAGAGTTGTGATTTCAAACCTCCGTGAAAAAGAGATCCTTTAAATTATACTGAAGTTTGGCGATTCAAATCACAGAAAAAAAGATTGGATTCCTTATATCACTGATAATTTTTCATTCATGTATAACAGTACGGAAGTTAGGGCATCTATATCACTGCAGCTATATTAATTCTAACACAACTGTAAGGAAATTAGTTCTCTTAAAAACAAGTTGGAAAAACAAAGCATCTTATTTCATAGTTATGTCCGTAAAGTCAGTAAAGAGTAGTTAATCAACTGTACTGTAGGAGAATATAATAGCTTCATTGAATAAATATACTGTTCAAGTAAGTTGTAAAAGTCAGATGAACAAGTAAGCATTGCAAGTCAGCTGAAAAAGTCAGCTATGCAAGTCAGTTGTGTAAGTCAGCTTGAAAATTCAGTTGTACACAGTCAGCTGTACAGATCCGATGTAGAAGTCAGCTATAAAAGCTACCCGTACAGGTTAGCTGCACAAGTTAGATGTTGGTCAACCAGTCAACTTCAACCAACTATTGATCAGCAATCCGGTTCCAGCTAACTATTGATCAGCCAATATAATTTAATCAACTTCTGGTCAACCTATCACCTTCAAGCAGTTGTTGATGTACTGATCAGCTGTCTCTTTTCCCATCTCAATTAAATTCCAAAAAAGCCTCTTTGAGATGTTAAAACAAATTATATTAACCTCAGTTTTCAGGAAACAAGTATCCGGATATCAGGTGTTCGGATATCAGAGATATTTTATTAAATCTAAATCGGATCTCTATTATTCTTAACGTAAAATAAAAACTAATATAGAAATCAACGAAGAATATTTCCTTAATTTTAACAGATCAAAAAAAATGTTGAGTGTCTGTTACGTGATATCCAAGATAATAATAATAATAATAATAATAATAATAATAATAATAATAATAATAATAATAATTAATAATAATTATAATATTCATTTTAATAATGTTACAATTCACACAAAATAATGGTCATAATAAATATGATAAGAGTATTTTAAAATAAACGATTACAAATATTTTAAACATAAAACAAATATACAAAAAACGTCAACAGGGCAAAAAGAACACCACGTTCCATAAGATCAATCTTATAAACATTTTATTAAGCAATGTCTTTTATTTGAAGAGTATATCTTAGGAGAAAAATCTAAACTTACTTCAAAACGCACATATACTAGCATTGTAAACAGGGAAATACATATAAAAACGGAACATTGTGCTAGATGCATTCAAGAAAGTGCATTTAAAAAGGTAATTTTAGTAAAATTGGCCTTAGATTAGTGAAGTGAAAGGGATTATCCTTCTAAACGGCAGAATTAAAACAGTTAAAATGAGCAGGAGTTGGTTATAAGAGAGAGATAAGGTAAATGTTTGTGAGTGTGTATGTGTGTGTGTGTGTGTGTGTGTGTGTGTGTGTGTGTGTGTGTGTGTGTGTGTGTGTGTGTGTGTGTGTGTGTGTGTGTGTGTGTGTGTGTACTCACCTATTTGTGCTTGCGGGGGTTGAGCTTTGGCTCTTTGGTCCCGCCTCTCAACTGTCAATCAACTGGTGTGTGTGTGTGTGTGTGTGTGTGTGTGTGTGTGTGTGTGTGTGTGTGTGTGTGTGTGTGTGTGTGTGTGTGTGTGTGTGTGTGTGTGTTTGTGTGTGTGTGTGTGTGCCGGCCGTGAAACAGAAATGGCGCTGTGGGGTGAACCAAACGTCGAGTTAAGGGGCCTAAATGAATGCTCATTAGCATTCAAAAGCACACACACACACAGTGTGTGTGTGTGTGTGTGTGTGTGTGTGTGTGTGTGTGTGTGTGTGTGTGTGTGTGTGTGTGTTTGTGTGAACACATGTCCGGGATGTTTTGATTTAGTGTGCAAATTCGTTCAGAAAATTTGAAATATGACTAGTACAGATGAGCCACATTGATAAACAGAGACACACGCTCGTAATTAAATGTAAATATTAACAAATGGAAATGAGTGAACAGCTAATTTGTGTGATACATAAGTATACAAAAAAAACGAATTAACACATAGACGATGAATAAATTGGTGTTAAATAGTGCTAAAAAATATTAAATAGTGTTAAAGGTATTATTTTACATAACAAGTGGATAATTAGGTTAATATGGGTAATATTATTTCAGTCGTGTGTTACATGATTTGAGTTGTAAAGCAAAACATTGCTGGCATTAAAAACTTTTTGATTTGTAAAATTGCTCTAAAATGTGTAAAGTCACGTAGAATAAAACTGGATTTGGCCAAGATAAGAGAAGCAGTATGAAGAATTATGTTATGGGGAAGAAAGGTTTGGCAACTCGTATGTAAGAGTAGCCAGGCTAGACACTGACTATTAAGCAGACTGAGTGGGTAGGATAGGATACGGAAAACTAACCTGTAGGTGCACGGGCCTGTAGAGGTGGCTGGTAGGCTTGGATGGGATATATGTCATAGCCTGTAGGTGGTCTGGCCTGCAGCGGCAAAGTGACCCCACTCTGGCCTGTAGTGTACAGGCTGAGGCCCTTTAGCCCACCCACCTGTCCATACCCATTCAGCGTGCCTGTAACACCAAGTGGAGGAACCAGCTGTAGATGGTGAGACCTGAACCCTACTCAATACCACCTGTGGGCGACAGCTTCAAGGACACGACCTCTGGTTACCTCGAGGGTGGGTAAGCAAGGAGCGCTGAGCGAGCCACTGTGTCATTCTCACTAAATCAGTCACTATCATTTGTCACCGACGGTCACTATCCACCGTCACCGTCATCCACCTCCATCACAGTCAACCATCGGCATTTGCATGCCATCATTGAAGTTGGTTTCGATGGCGATCTTACTGATGACGTGGATAGCCGCATTTTTCATAGGTACACTTGAGCAGTAAGAGCCAGTAGTGAGACTTGAAGTCTTACAAAGCAAAATAATCAGTGCCTCGAGAACCTCAAAGAACGAAAAAATATTAAAACACCTATATCTGCATAATGGATTGTCTGTTTACTTGGCAACCCAAGGTTGGAAGACAGACGCTTTGGGCTTGCCTAACCAAACTTTGCAAGGTGACTGACGTGAAGAGGGGGGCTGTCATCAGCTAATCGTGGTCATCCAAATTACACCCATTTAGATGGGATGAGCTCCCATGGCGACCCCATGAAATCCACGTAGATGAAACAGTGGCCACTGAGTCCGCAGAGTTTCTTCATTAGAATATAATACAAAAATTTCTAATATTAATATGATAACCCCATGTGCTGTTGGGAGATTGGCAATCTAGGGTCTCCTAACACTTAAATAGAGCAACCTTTCTGGGTTGACTCTGCCACCCAACGGATAACTAAAAAAGTAGAAGATTACCCACCCCGGTGTAAGAGAGGTCGGCCTCGATAACTTCACACTCCATCTCGAGAGCAGATGCAAGCAATATCATGCATCAATTTAGTCCAAGAGAAACAAACAGGAAAATCAAGCAAATGTTCAACACTCATAAATTTACATTGACCTGATCAGAATCACATAGATAACCTCCAAGGGCTGGTTATGACGTGTTCATATATATATATATATATATATATATATATATATATATATATATATATATATATATATATATATATATATATATATATATATATATATATATATATATATATATATATATATATATATATATATACAAACATCCATTTATAAAAACCATATATTACATCATGCATGGATAGCGGTTATAGATAGTGTGGTTGAAAAGTTATAAATGCGAGAGAAAAATGGGAAAAAACAATAGTTGTTTAATATCTTGACAAATGATTGCTCTGAGGGACATTCTTTAGTTTTCACTGCTATACAACATGCAATGAGATGTGTACGAATGTATGAGTTTGTGTGTGTCTGCTGTTGCTCCACAGGAACGTAATCACAACGCTGGTCATATGTGTATCCACTGCTGCTGCTGCTGCTGCACAGGAAACGGTTACCCCCAACACAGACCTGCTAGGAGGTTATCCATGGCTCCGGTAAGCTTGGGAGTAATGCCATCCTTCATCAGCGTCTGGTGGTGATGTTTGATGGCGTTCATTCGCCTGTTGAGGCCGCCGTCAGGCCTGGGCTGTCTGCACGCTCGCCTCGGCTGCTCCACTGGTAACACTCGTCGTCTCTTCTTCGGCAACTTTGACCTCGCCTTCTCAGGTAAGAAAAGGCGGAGGAGAATAGAATTCACGATCAAACGATGAACATAACACTGATAGTTAAATAATATTAATAATAATAATAACAATAACACGAAGATGATAATGACAGTAATTTAGAAATAGACAAGTATAATAGATATAAATACTAGAATATTCTTTTTTCCTTGACGAGGTAATGATCACCATTTCCTATCATTTGATTTGGTTAGGTTAAGTTTAGGTAAGGTAGTTCCGTTTCTAGCTCTACATATGAAGTATTTAAGTGATTTTGATCGTTTCTCGGATCGCATGTGGCTTCCTTATCTTACATCCAAATATTACAGTACCCCAGAACTTGTAAACTATGCCCCTTAATGAACCTAACATCACCCATAATTATATAGACGGAATAGGAAGACAAAGATTGCAATATGTTGTAAAAAAAAGGGGAAGGGGGAAGTAGAGCAAGCTTCCCTATTCACCTCCCTCTTTAATTCATCTGTTTTTAATTCACCCATTTCTTCTCCTGTCAGTCTATCCTTCTACTTCTTCATTATTACTTTTTTGAATGCCAGATCATATGACCTTTTACACTGGTATAAGGTGCCTAAATTTTAACGTAATCTGCTCATCCCCTACTCACCTGCGTATGACTGTAGAACATAGAGAAGTTGGAGACTATGACAGGCACAGGTAGAGAGATGGTTAACACACCAGCCAGAGCACACAGGGCACCTACGAACATGCCAACGTATGTCTTGGGCACCATGTCCCCGTACCCAACTGTCGTCATAGTGACTATCGCCCACCACAGGCCCTCTGGGATGCTTTTGAAGTCGTTGTGAGGGTTGGCCTTCATAGAAAACGAAGTATATAATATATATATATATATATATATATATATATATATATATATATATATATATATATATATATATATATATAAAGTGTAATAAATGTGTTTATTAGGATATATTGGTAAGAATATATTTACAGAATAAACCATAAGAAATATTTAGATAATAAAGAGTCCTCTCATAATCACAAAGGCAAGAAGCATAAGCAAAAATCATCGTAAATTGAAATTTTCTTTCGAAGAAAAATATTCTGAAAACATTTTGTTGCTAAAATTCCTACTTCGAACGGGAATGCGCTCATTATATTTCCAGATATATATTGTAACATCCTTTATCAGTACAAAATAAAACTGTAGCTTTGATGCTCGTTAGTGCAATGTTTGTGGAGCCAAACATTATTCGTTGATAACTAACGGAAGCTGGAATAAAATTTTAATATAATTACTTACTGTAATAATAAATTCACGATAACAGCTTATTAAACATACATAATTTTTTTAAGAATCAAGTAAATATATATATATATATATATATATATATATATATATATATATATATATATATATATATGTCGTACCTAGTAGCCAGAACGCACTTCTCAGCCTACTATGCAAGGCCCAATTTGCCTAATAAGCCAAGTTTTCATGAATTAATTGTTTTTCGACTACCTAACCTACCTAACCTAACCTAACCTAACTTTTTCTGCTACCTAACCTAACCTAACCTATAGAGATAGGTTAGGTTAGGTTAGGTAGGGTTGGTTAGGTTCGGTCATATATCTACGTTAATTTTAACTCCAATAAAAAAAAATTGACCCCATACATAATGAATTGGGTAGCTTTATCATTTCATAAGAAAAAAAATAGAGAAAATATAACAATTCAGGAAAACTTGGCTTATTAGGCAAATCGGGCCTTGCATAGTAGGCTGAGAAGTGCGTTCTGGCTACTAGGTACGACATATATATATATATATATATATATATATATATATATATATATATATGCGGAAAATCCACAGAGAAATATGAAATGAGGTGAACGTTTCGGCTTTGTTAAAGCCTTTGTCAACACAAGACTGACTAAGGAGAAGGGAGAAGGGGGAGGATATATAGGCCGACACCTGACCAACCCATCCCTAGGGGTGGTCAGGTGTAATTAACCAAAATCAGGTATAGCTTAGCTTAAAATGGTCAAAGAGGATTAAGCGGTCAGAGAATAAGGATGAAAGATTAAAGAAAAGCCTCATGAACACACAATATATGAATATACAATTATAATGAGACATTGTAAGCCTCTCTATCAGAGTTGTTTCTTAAACTGTTGTGCAATATTATAACTTAAAAATGGATCAAGTTTGTACATTCCAGTACTAACATTAAGAAGATTTGGACACTGATCCAAATGTCAGTGTCCAAATCTTCTTAATGTTACTACTGGAATGTACAAACTTGATCCATTTTTAAGTTATAATATTGCACAACAGTTTAAGAAACAACTCTGATAGAGACGCTTACAATGTCTCATTATAATTGTATATTCATATATTGTGTGTTCATGAGGCTTTTCTTTAATCTTTCATCCTTATTCTCTGACCGCTTAATCCTCTTTGACCATTCTAAGCTAAGCTATACCTGATTTTGGTTAATTACACCTGACCAACCCTAGGGATGGGTTGGTCAGGTGTCGGCCTATATATCCTCCCCCTTCTCCCTTCTCCTTAGTCAGTCTGGTGTTGACAAAGGCTTTAACAAAGCCGAAACGTTCACCTCATTTCATATTTCTCTGTGGATTTTCCGCATAAAATGATCAGTGTTTTGTGATCGTCAATTGCATATATATATATATATATATATATATATATATATATATATATATATATACACACACATATAGGGGTACCACCTCTGTAATTGTAGAGACCCATAGCCTCGGAGAAGAAAATAACATGTATTCAGAGAAGATCTTGTGGATTCTCACTGAACACTTTAATGTTTATATATTTATCTATATATATCATAATATATATAAGGGTAAAGAAATATCTATATATCCAGACTACATATCGCCGGTTGACTGGTGGTTGGGATTTTGTTCTCGCACCGGATACCGGAATTGGGTATTCAAAGCAATACATTTTCTCCAGGATGTTCCACACCAATCGTTTAACATCCTAGACCCCACTTGCTCCTATGAACTTATACGACCTGACGAATATACAGTTGTGTGTAATTTTGAACACCATATATGGAGAAAGAATATTAACTAATTGCAAGATGTGCAGCGCCTAGCAACGAAACGTAGATGGAAAAACCTGATTATTTTCCCGTAATTCATTTAATAAGTGATGGTTTTATACAGACATTCAAAGATAAAATGCATTGCTAATAATTGACTCAATAAATAATATTAACACTGTACAATTTAGAGTTATGAATAACAACGGATTTATTTTTATTGGCAAAATGCGCATAAAATAATAGCATCATTAGCATTTGCAAAATAGGCGAACATCAGTCCATCTTTTTGCAATCTATATAAGATGGCAAAATTAGATTACATATCGCACACCTGAGATGAATCCTTGGATACGCTTGGAGTTCCTACTTCAAGAAGCACATAAACTAACTTGAAAAGGTGCAGAAGTTTGCAACAGGGCTGATCCCTGCATTATGTTGGATGGAGTATCAGTAAAAGTTCAAGAAAATCGGGTTAACGACGCTAGAACGAGAGAAAGGAAAAATATAATTCAGGTAAATAAAAATTTGGATAATTAACAAGAATATAAAAGTAGAACATTTTCTAATTGCACGAGTTGGTACTGAGGGAATCTAGATACACAGATGTGCCTTGCGGATGTTAAAATATTCACCTTCAGGGTTTGAGATGGAAATAGCAGACAATTCCATATGCAATTTTCAGTTGCGCAATAGCCTACGTCCTCTGATCTCAATCGAGGATCCCGGTACAATCTACAAGCAGGACAGATCCTTTACAGTTTATGGATCCTTCCTGTTGACAGGATCCATAAACAGTATCATTGGTAACATTTAACTCGACAGTCACTTTATTAAATGACCGATAGTAAGGAAAGCAGAGTCGAAGAGCTGAAGGTCGATGAGACAGGAAACAATACATAAGAACACCCACCTGCAGCCTTTCGGCGTAATAGACGAGGCTGGCGAAGATGACGATACCTAACACCAGGAAGAAGACCAGCAGGGTGAGCTCTTTGGCCGAGGCCTTAAAGGTATGAATGAGGATCTTCAAGCCGCCGGAGTGGCGAGTCAGCTTAAACAGCCGAAGGATCCTGATGATGCTGAAGAACTCGATCACCTCCGCCGCCTTCCCCGCGTTGTCGTCTGCGTCGCCGTTGTCATGTGGTCGTCAGTAGCAGCCAAGGAGAGGAAAGATGGAACGGTTAGTTAGCTACTGGGAAAATGGGGAAGTATTTTACTACTGTTTGTTATGCAGTCAGGGAGTGGGAAGATAGCCTCTGATAATACTAATTGATGAAGATGGTGCTCGGCCATCATCAGACAATACAACAACTATCCACGGAAATGGCTTAACAGCCCAACGAGCGAGTAAATCTTACATAAACAGGTTGTTTATGTAAAACTATGAGAGAGAGAGAGAGAGAGAGAGAGAGAGAGAGAGAGAGAGAGAGAGAGAGAGAGAGAGAGAGAGAGAGAGAGAGAGAGAGAGAGAGAGAGAGAGAGAGAGAGGGTTGTCACTCTATGTGGTCAGTTGATAGAGTAGAGAACAGTAAGAAAACTGGACATTTCACCTCCTCTTGCTTTCCATTATTGTTATATATTTTTTCCTTCCCTTCATATCCCCTTTTCCTCGATTTCTCCTTCTATTTTATCTTTCACTATTCCCCCTAATATTCATTCGCCTTACTATTCACCTTATCGTTCTCTATTGTTCCATTCCATCACATTCTACCCTACAATTTCCTTTTCTACCCCCGTTTACCCCAAACCCCTAATAACTCTTCCTATCCCTAACAATACCTTCCCAATTTCTATTCCTCCTCACCTTTTCCAGCAAACTGTGTCTGATTGAGTATGATGTCCATGTAGAAACTGAGAGTAGCTACGAAGTCGATGATGTTGATGGTGTTCTTGACGAACTCCAACTTCATTGGGGTGACGGTGAATCTCATCAGGATCTCGAAGGTAAACCAGGCATTGCAGGCCGCTTCCACGTAGAAGAAGGCATCGTGGGGGTCCGTCCTGGGGGGGAGAGGAGGTGGAGGAGGAGCGGTAGCTGAGGTGACGCTCGAGTCGCACTTGAGGGATGGATTGGAGCTCAGGTGAGGCTTAGAGGGATGCAGGAGAGCTTATGCGGCTCTTAGATTGATGGAGGAGAGCTTTAGTGGCTCTTAGATTGTTGAAAGGTAAATCATGTGGCTCTTAGAGAGATGTAAAGAAGATCATGTGACGCTCGGACGCTTGTCGAACAGTCAAATGACACAAACAGACTTCTAATGCCGTTGAGCCTAGCAATTAAGGTGCCACGTCTAAGATCCCACCAACACCACCACCACCACTAAACGCTTCCACCACCAGTCAAACACCGCCACCACCACCATCCACTACCACTCTGCCCCCTTCTCACCCTCACTCACCTGTCCTTGTTGAGGTACCAGTAGGTGACGTTGGTGCCGTTCTTGGAGAGTCCGCTAACGGTAACGTTAACGATAACGGGAACTCGCATGTTGGGGTGGGTCTTGAGGCAGAAGGAGAGGATCGACACCACTATGAAGAACACAGACAACATGGCGATCACCTGCGAGAGGGAGCGAGAGACAAGTAAAAGTGCGTTCGTGACCTGGATTATATAAGAGTTCGTTCCCGACGTGGATGAAATAATTGTGCGTTTGTGTAATGTATTATGGAAATAATTATAATTTTGTGCCTTGGATAAGGAAAATTCTTTTGCATTTTGTAGCTTATTTTTCTGATTTCCTTATAACATAATCAGAACCAAATATGACAAAAACCATAAAAACGTTCAGTATTGTCATCATAATGCAGTCTTTGCCGTTTTGTTTTCGTTCAGTAGAAAGAGTTTCTGCCTTTTTTGTGTCAAACAACTATGCATGCAAAGACCGCTTAAATGGAATTGTTATTTAATGATTTTCCATTTGTCCCAATAAAGGTTACATGTCCTACCTGTCCTCAGGCTAGGCTCGTTAAAGAGGCTCCTGGCCCCCCCCCCCTTCCTCACCCTCCCAAGAAGCACTCATCATTTTTAACGAATTGTGTATTAAAATAGATTTGTTATATATAAATTACTGTTATTATATATTAAAGTTCTCTGTCTAGTTAGCTGTAAGTTAGGTTCGGTGTCTAGGTGTTGGCAATTATTTGTATTTGTAGTTTTGTTAAGCATTTGCATGGTTGCGATTCGAACATAGGTCGTCAGCCTAGGACTGTTCGAGAAATGTTCGAATAATGTCGGTTGCGAGTCGTGTGTAAAGTATTCTTAATTTATAAACATGGAGTTTGGCGGCTGGATTAATGAACATTTGGCTTTTGTTGATTAGGACGGGCTGCTAGAAATATTAGCGTCAGGAACTTAGCTCGAAGCTTTTCTTGATAAGAGTTTCATTTACTTATTCTAGAACTTCATCTGTTAAAATGCTTCACTCACGTGAGTCCTATGATCAGTAACTGTGTAACTGGATTAGCATAGATAAGTTGCTCTGTATAAAGACTGTAGTTGGTCACTTCTTGAACCACTTGTAATATAAAAGACTGTTGACATATAGTCAATTGTTTAACTCGCTTAACAAGATTGTTACTTACCGAGCTAAGTAAACTTTTGGGTTCAGTTCCTAAGCCTTTTTAGTGTAACCTTTTCCACTATCACCCACGGGATGGTATGGGATCTACTACCACCTATGCAATGGGTATGGGGTTCATTAGCACTCACGGGATGGGAATGAGGGGGGAGGGCCATTATCGTCTACACGATAGGAATAGGATGCATAATAACTGAACACACTTCAACTCAGGTTTTGTCATTATAAATAAGTGCAGCTCGTTCTCATAAACAATGGCCAAATTCTCGCTAATCCAGCCGCCAAACCCTCTGTTTATGAATGAAAAACACTTTACGAACTGCTGATGACGTTCGAACTTTTCTTAATCGGTCGCCGTTTCAGTGCTATGTATTTTTGTTCCAAAATTACCGGAGCTCAACACTCACTGAATTCCTCTTAATAAGACCGTAATTGTGAAGCTGACAGGCAACGGATTTTCTTGGTTGCGTGGTTGCGGAAGTTCAGCGTCGCAGAGGAACACATTGTTGGTGCAGTTTCTTCACTGTCAGGAATTTAATAATACTGTAAGCATTAACTCTGTGAGACGGCATGAGTAGTTTCTAATTTGATATTCGTGTCTATAGTTTTCCTCAGAGAGAGAGAGAGAGAGAGAGAGAGAGAGAGAGAGAGAGAGAGAGAGAGAGAGAGAGAGAGAGAGAGAGAGAGAGAGAGAGAGAGAGAGAGAGAGAGAGAGAGAGCGTATGTATGTTGGCATGTGAGTGAGTATTTACTATTTGTCTTCAGGATCGAGCTGTCAGCTCTTGGGCCCCGCCTTTGTAGCTATCGCTTGTCTAATGACTCCCAAACAAATTTTCTCAATAATATATATGTTATATATATTTCTCTCTCACACTCTCCCTTCCCCTCCCACTTACACGCACACATTTCCACGATGCATCCCGTAACAACTGCCTAACTCTCAGCTACCAGTTGATTGCTAGGTGAACAGAGGCATCAGACGAAAGAAAGTCTGCCCATTTGTTTATGCCTCGACCAAGAATCAAACCCGGGCCCTTTAGACTAAGGTCTGCTCTGCATTGTCCATGAATTTACTTCTTAAGAATGGGATTTCATGTTGATGCTTTAACTTGTAAAAGTGGCCAAATATATGCAGGACAAATTGGCATGAATCATTTCCCTTATGTTTCTAAATAGCGTCGTTACTCTGCTTACGTGCGGCCCTGGTGTTATGACTGGGTTATGTCCACTTCTGTGTCCTCCTTCCCTGACTCCTGCACCTGCCTCCCGGTTATACTTTACTGCCCTTCCTGCCTCCTACCCCTTCTAAAAAACTTTATTTTACATTTGTAGTGTTTTTCCATTGTCGTTGTGCGTTCATCTAGTATGTCTATGTGTTTGTTCACGCTATTTTTGTTAAGGATTTGTTTTGCACCGGGGAACAACGTCTAGGTAAATCTGTCACTCTAGATGGGGTTTCTCTCTCGCTATAATCCAGCTGGTGGCTACAGTTCATGAAATACCTAACTGATCAACCTACTCGATCATCTACCGCTTAAGTAATACCTCCTGCTAGCCTCCTGGGCTCTACCCCTCAAGTAAGACCACTTGAGGTGCGTGGAAGCTCCTCCCCCCTCGCTGCCTCTGACCCAGATGGTGTCGACGCTGACCGCCTGCTTCATTTCTCACGCCGGCGACGCCCCCGACACTGACTAATATGGTCACTCGGGGGGTAAACAGGCAGGGAAGGAATGAGGCGATAGTTCCAACTGACACACCAGGCTGTTGATACCTCTCTACGGGGCCCGGGAAGATGGTTTCGATTAAAGAACTGAACATTTAGTTCCCTCAGTTTGTATCGGACAACCGGCAGGGACGTGAATGAGACCATTCTTTCCTTTTTCTTAAGTTAGCCTTTGAGTTTCATTCTACGGTTTGTGGTTCGAAAATCTCTGAGCCAATGGTTTCTCATTATCGCTACGGGAAGCTGAATAAGCTTAACAAGCTTAATAAGCTTTACTTAAGCTTTAATTAAGCTTAACAAGCTCATCCTAGGACAACAACTGACCTTCCAAGGATTCAACTTTCAACAATTATCTTATTTGCAGGTACCTGTATACTGCTAAGTGAATAAAAGCATCAGGTGCAAGAAAACGTTCGCAAAATGTCTTCTGCTAGGGAATCGAACTTGAGATCATTGGGTTGGGAGCAGATTGCGTTGCCTACTGCGCTACAGGTCACAATAATTGAGAACTCGAGTATGTTTATGCTGTGTTTAAAAGGCGTAGTATGTAATGCATAAATTAGTTTCTCATATCTAGGATGGATACATTAACGACTAACTCAATACCTGTTTCCTCATCAAGTTGTTATAATCAATACTTAACTCAATATATAGGCCAGACAACAATATCTCTTTCAAAGCGTCTAAACATGTACAAAAAGCAAGAGTATCAAGGAACATAGTGTCCTTACATATAACCAGATCATCACCTGAAATATTATGACAAACAACACAAAAATAATTGACAAATTCAGCGACAGTAGAAGACTGGATATTGGCGAGGTATTATACATCATTTATACCAAGTTAACTATCAACAGCCAACTGACACCAAATTACACTCTGCCATCCTGAAGAACACGACGAAACATACAAAACTGTCCCAGTCATCATGGAAGCACAGGAGACTGGTAAGCTGCAATCTATCTATTGGCCTATAAGTTAAGTGCTTCACCTTCACCTCATCCCAGGCTATATATGTGCCAGCATAAAAACTTGCGGCCTAATATTTGTGTCACTTCTTAGGTGGCTTAATCGTCATCAAACTTATGACCATTCGAACTTGAAATCAACCTTCTTCCTTTCCACAGAACACTCCCGAACAGTTAAAAACATGTGCAATATTTTTCATGAGTGGCTATTGTTTAAAAATTCCTCAAGTAATGGATTAGAGAAACACTTTGATCATCCCCGCGTTCTCGAGTATAAGTTATGGTCTCACTGTGCTCGTGCCATCTCTTGGGTGGCTTAATCTTCTCAGTCACTCTGCTCGCGTACCTTGGCTTCAAAACCCTAGTTTACGTACAGCATATGTATTGGCCTAAAGACATTTCATGTATTATGTGAAAACCTTCCCGAGCCAAACATGCCTTTACTTACCATGAACCTATATTAGGATTGAACGGTACAACAACGGCCTAGAATCTTTCACTTTTGGTTTTGTTTACAAGGTTGGATGTTTGATCAGCTTCCCTTGAATCCATCTTCATATCTAAACTGTTAGTCTGCCCTAGAATCCCTTTCTAGTGCTATTCAACCAAAACATATTGACAGATTGCTTTGTCATCCTACTGGTCGTACCTTGTTATGTACAAATACCTCGCGAAGCCACGGTGAGTGGCTTCGTGAGGTATTTAATAACATGTACCTTGTATCACGTACCTTGGCCATCCAAGAAGAGTAGGGTTCGTCAAAAAGGGACCAGATCTTAGGCCTCGTTCTCTGCCACCAGGTAACACGCCCGTTCAAGTAACTCTCTTCGTAGCCAAACTTTCTGGCGATTTCCTCCTCCGACGGCTTGTCTGTATCCACGTCTAGCTTGTCCAAGATAGCTAACGTGGCCTGGAATAAGTGGAAAAAAGAGTGTTACAGTAAGGTAGGATTAGAGACGAGGAATGTAAAGTTTTGAATTTTCCCGAAAGAACAAAATACCTATTTTCTGTAACAGGGAAGCAACTCTCCTGGCACTGGAGCTTTACTACTTCAAGAGAGTTGTGCATAGTTTTGCTTAGAAGTGTTCATCAGAATGTTCGATAGTAAATATACCCCTTATGAGAGAAGATTATTATAGTATCTAGCACGCTTCCCCCCAAAAAAACCTTAGATGTATGTAGCCACTTCTAGGAGTTCATTGGGAAGGCCACTCTTACACAAAAAAAGTGATTTGTCCCAACCTCAGCATGTTAAACGTGATTGGACAAGGAACCTCAGGAGGCGCAAAAACGTTAACCTCCAACACATCTAATCAGTGTAGAGGTCAGTCAGAGAGGTGGAGCGGAAGAAACAATGAGATGAGACAGGAAATGGAGGGAGGGAATAGCGAGCAAGGGAAGGACAGAAGTAAAAAGGGAGAGAAGGAGTCTGAGAAGGAGGGAAGACAAGATGGAGGGAGGGAGAGTGAATTCGATGTCGTGAGAAAAAAGAAGAAAATAAGTGCAGCAGTTAACGGACTATTGGCGGCCAACAGACCACTAACGTGTCCCTCAATCATCCCTGGTTCACCTTCCCGACGTCTTCAGATTTATATTAAGGAGATCTTTCATTTCAGAGTCTTTCTGAGTCACGGTAAAAAAAAAATTATATATAATTACATGACTCATCGAAGAAACTAAATGGCATCTAAATGGTACCTTTCAGCTTTGGTATCTAATGTTTTGTCCACAACAGTTCCGATGTTTTATCCCTCTCCAAGATCCAAGATCTTGAACAAGTTTTAAGTTTTTTAAAATTCATCAAATTACTACGCTCTAAATATTTATTATCAAAAGTTTCTTAATATTAGTCAGGTTAACAGGAGAAGCCGAGGCCTGGAACGAATGGAAATGAAGCAGTGCATTAAATGATACTTTGGAACGAAAGAAGCAAAAGAGAGCATCAACTAATTCCTGGAATGAAGAGTCTTAATTCAGGACTGGAACTAATGGAACAGAAAAGAGTGAAAACTAACTCTTGGAATGAAGAGAGCAGAAAATGGTCTTTACTGAGAACAGGAACTAATGGAGCACAAGAGAACATTAACTGAGACTTGAAACGATCATCGTAATGTACTGCGTTTTCTGTTGGATGGAACAAACATAACTTGAAGTGTCAGGTGGATAGGTTAGATGAACGAAAGATGAATAGAGCTGAGATGACGTGGCCTGAGATGAAGTAGGCTAAGATGAATGAGTTAAGAAGTAAGTTTATGATGACCAAACTATAAACCAGTAGATGAGGAGACGACGTCATTAGCAAAACAATCGATCTGATAATGGTTCAAGATGGACCGAAACGTCGTCGTCTCCTCATCTTCTGGTGTGTGATCTGGTCATCATATCTTCAGCCACGTTATTGTGACTCATCATCTGCGAAGTGGCTTATATAGAGAGCCCAGAGATAAAGTCAGGAGTTGATACAGCAGAACGTTTACAAACACATAAACCGATGTATACGTATACACATGTATATGTATATATATATACACTATTTTTTCCCGGAAACACTAGCAATGCACAGGAACGAAAATTTATATTCTGTTATATTAAAACACAGGTGCCACGTGAAATTACACCAGAGATATAAAAGGAACGGAACTAGTGAGTCCTAAAATATGTTCCTTAATTTAAAACATTTAACAAATAAAACAGACACACTCTTTTGCCCATTTTAAATGGAACTTGGATACAAAATAAGAAAAAAACATTAAAACAGAAGGGGAAGCTAGATAAAATTAAAGAGAGATAGTCAAAGAGATAGAAACAAATACATTGAGATACAGTGTCACTTTTAAAGAATGAAAAAAAAAGTAAAAATTGTGATCCTAAATTTTAAATACAGCGTGAAATGTTTAGTATGACAAATGAATTGATCAGAAACAAACTTATTTTGCCTCAGCACATTACCAAATATGTATAAATTTCCGGTTTAAAACACACACACTCACACACAAAATCGGCAGAGTTTCTTTCTCCTGATGCACCTGTTAACTTAAAAGTAAATATGTACCTGGGAGTTAGACAGCTGCTACGGGCTGGATCTTGGAGATGTGTGTATGTGTGTGAGAGAGAGAAATTTATGTAATTAGATAGGGAGTCAGTACATTATAGACAGCCGACGGTTAGAAAGGAGGGATACAATAGATAACAACTGGATCCAGCTGGCGCAAATAATAAATACAAAAAGTAAATACACACACACACACACACACTGTGATATTTTGCCGGTAAAATGTACAAATTAGTTCATGCTGTCATCAACATACGAGTCCAGGTGGATAGTTAACAATTACATGTTCCGACCGTGTTTACGCGGTGTATAGACTTGCAGTGATGCATTCTGACCCATGATACATACTGATACATGTGATATTGATGTACGTAATACATGCTGACACTCATGATACATGCTAACAGAAAATGAAAGAACGGGAAGGACAGAAAAAAGACCCGGGTACCGCCGGTGCCCCTCTAGTGCGTAAACACACACACACACACACATATGTAAATATATATATATATATATATATATATATATATATATATATATATATATATATATATATATATATATATATATATATATATATATATATATATGTCGTACCTAGTAGCCAGAACTCACTTTTCAGCCTACTATGCAAGGCCCGATTTGCCTAATAAGCCAAGTTTTCCTGAATTAATATATTTTCTCTAATTTTTTTCCTATGAAATGATAAAGCTACCCATTTCATTATGTATGAGGTCAATTATTTTTTATTGGAGTTAAAATTAACGTAGATATATGACCGAACCTTACCAACCCTACCTAACCTAACCTAACCTATCTTTATAGGTTAGGTTAGGTTAGGTAGCCGAAAAAGTTAGGTTAGGTTAGGTTAGGTAGGTTAGGTAGTCGAAAAACAATTAATTCATGAAAACTTGGCTTATTAGGCAAATCGGGCCTTGCATAGTAGGCTGAGAAGTGCGTTCTGGCTACTAGGTACGACATATATATATATATATATATATATGTCATATATATATATATATATATATATATATATATATATATGTAGTGGCCAGAACGCACTTCTCAGCCTATTATGCAAGGCCCGATTTTCCTAATAAGCCAAGTTTTCCTGAATTAACATATTTTCTCTAATTTTTTCTTATGAAATGATAAAGCTACCCATTTCATTATGTATGAGGTCAATTGTTTTTTATTGGAGTTAAAATTAACGTAGATATATGACCGAATCTAACCAACCCTACCTAACCTAACCTAACCTATCTTTACAGGTTAGGTTAGGTTAGGTAGCCGAAAAAGTTAGGTTAGGTTAGGTTAGGTAGGTTAGGTAGTCGAAAAACAATTAATTCATGAAAACTTGGCTTATTAGGCAAATTGGGCCTTGCATAGTAGGCTGAGAAGTGCGTTCTGGCTACTAGGTACGACATATATATATATATATATATATATATATATATATATATATATATATATATATATATATATATATATATATATATATATATATATATATATATATGGAAAAGACGTGCATCCAAATTTATTTCCCATAAATACAAACGTTCCTAAGCTAATTCTCTATTCATTTATAAAAGTCAAAAGACCAACGCAATAAGGCTTTGCCAGAAGATGTGAAAGACCCAACAACCGAGTCTCTCACTTGGACAACTCGTCGAGGTCAGATGTAAACAAACTGGGACTCAGTACAGCGGAATCTATGTAAGTGAGAGGGTGTGTCTGTTGGCTTCACAGTGATAAAGTACTGAGGAGGACGCAACTTGTTGTAGGGGCAAACTGAACGGTAAGCGATACTCACGTGTTCACAGATGGTATACTTAACGTATCGATACGTTGGGAATGTCCCAAACACTGTGGGAATATTTACCTGCAAAATTCATATTAGATGGATGGTGTAAGGTTAAGGGCTTTGTAAAGCAGTGGGAATATAAGTTACGGCATTTGTCCCCCGCCACCCGTGGAAAGTATTCCCTCCTCCCGCCCTACTCTACTAACCACCCAAGTACTTGGACTGGTCGGTATAGGGCCGGCCTCGTTAACTGCCGGCCAGCAGTCGATCCCCGACGGTGTCTAAATTGTTGGGTTCTATTCATTCCATCCATTCTTATATATTCTCGTATCCTAGCTCCATGTCCTCGTATCCCTTCCAAGTGCTATATATAGGCTTAGCGCACTCTTTTGATAATTACCTTACCTTACCCCTCCCATCTACCCCTCTTCCCAGCACGTCGCGAAGGATAATTTCCTCGTCTTGCCATGATAGCTAATTTGCTTCGTGAGCCTGGAAAACTAATTTATCCCCGCGCGCTGTGGAAGCTATTTTACTCAGCGCTGGAGCCAAGATAACCAATCACCTTCATCAAGCTGTCTGCATGAGTGAGCTCGTTTGTACCCACTTCTTAAGGCTGATTTGACTCGTATGTTCTCCGTTTGTGAATTATGTTAACTCGCTCCATGCCTACTAGCGAGTGGGTCCGCGACGTACATGCCGGTGCGTCGTACTTTACGCCTATGTAACTATAATTATATTTCATTTTGCCTCTGTATTTCTGTTATTTATAATATTTTAAAACTGAATTTATTCAAATTTGTCTATGACGTCAATCTGAATATTTATCTTGTATTGATTTGCTATATATGACTATCTCTTTTTATCTGTGTGTCTCAGGGACCCCGTAGTATACCCCAAGATATACCGTGTCTGAGACTGGGAGTGTATATTAGCCCCCCCCCCAACCTGTCCTCAGGCTAGGCTCGTTAAAGCAGCAACCGTCCCCCAAAAGGTATTCATCCATTGTTACATATTTGTGCACAAAAAATAAGTTTGTTCTCACATAGAAATTAAGATTGTTATACATTAAAGTCCTACGCCTATAAAGTTTGGCGTAGGTTTGGTTAGGTGTTTAGGTTTTGTTGGTCATTATTTGTATTTGTAGTACGTTAGGTGAAGCATTTACTGCATTTGCAGACTTGCGATCCGAACAGAGGTCGTCAGCGAGGCACTGTTCGAGAAATGTTCGGACGTCATCAGTTGTGATTTGTGTATGTAAAGCGTCTTTCGTTCAAAAACAGGGGGTTTGGTGATTGGATTAGCGAACAATTGTCCTCTGTTAATGAGGGTGGGGGTGAGGCCCCAGCTGAATCAAAAGCTTACTTGGGTGTCACGGTGAATTGTGTAGGTCATCCAGCAGCAGGGTTCCACCTGGTTTGAATCCAGACCCCAGAACTCGAGTTCCTCTTCAAACAGCGGTCCACACACGTTGGTTGGGTAGTGGAGTTTGCCTGTCCTGTGAGGGGAAGAAGAATGATTTTTTAACCCTCTCAATGTGCTTCAGTTCGTTTTGGCTGTTACATGATACTGATTATTATTAAAAAAAAATAACAAAATTAATATACAATTTTGCCTATCTGGAGTAATTCAATCAGGTCTTACTGCAGTAAAGAGTCTGTTTATTTTCACTATTACACAGGACAGAGGATCACACACAAAATAACAGGTCTAAATTGAAGTTTTAAGCCTATATATATTTTATAAGTCTATATATCTACATCAGATAATGTATAAGTTTTGATTTACTGATAGCCACGATACGTCATTTCGGAATATTTTTAAGAATATATTGCTCGCGATAAATATGCGCAAGACATTAAAAATGTTACTAGTGAAGGCAATTTCTGTGTACATCGCCTTGAAGCCAAGAATCCTGTTCAGTGGTAGAAAACTCTGCATGATTGACTGACCAGTTGATTGATCTCACAACTTTAATCAACTTCTTTCTCTCCCAATTCCTATCTTGTCGTGATCCTTGATTTTTTATTTATCAGTACCACTGTATTGCGTGCTTTGATACCCGGAGAGCAGTTGAGTGAATTGTGAAGCTCATCAGATCAAAAATAATATGAGTAAAGACATAGTGTCCATTTCACTGGGTATATGTATTTAGGTCGTGTTGGGCCATCAAATCCTCCGACCCTCTAGTTTGACTCTTTCATGCTAAGGAGTAGAACTGAGATTTCTAAAACCATTGCAAAGGTTAAATGATTATTTATGTAACATTATGGACTGCGTTGTTACGGTGGCAAATGAATTATATAACAATCTAATTATTTTTCTCTCTCACACACACATTTACGCTAGTAGAACCATCTATCTCCCTCTACTCCACAGATAGAAGCCAACTTTCAACAGAACTGGTGGATCCCGCTTCTATCCCGAAAACTCACATTTTTCCCAAAATCTCTCTCTCTCTCTCTCTCTCTCTCTCTCTCTCTCTCTCTCTCTCTCTCTCTCTCTCTCTCTCTCTCTCTCTCTCTCTCTCTCTCTTTCTCCTTGTGTTATTTTGTGAAATCTTACTAATTTTTTTATTTATTACATTTCGGAAAATTCCTGGATTATTATACACAAATACTCTGAACTCTTGGGCTGGACGGTAGAGCGACGTTCTCGCTTCAAGCAGGTCGGCGTTCAATCCCCGACTGTCCAAGTGGTTGGGCGCCATTCCTTCCCCCCGTCCCATCCCAAATCCTTATCCTGACCCCTTGCCAGTGCTATATAGTCGTAATAGCTTGGCGCTTACCCCTAAAAATTAATTCATTCAATTCTGAGCTCTTGCATCTTGAAGGGAAACCTGTCGAGAGTTGGAGTTTGATTGCCATTAATAGCCTGAGAAACTGAGGAAGATAAAAGGTACACGGGGTTTAGTCTTCTTTGGAGTTCCAAGGAGTTAACTTGTCTTAAGGGGGAATATACATTACCTTGCCATCTTCTCTTTTTTCCTTCTCCTTCCAATGTTTCCTTACGCTTAGTCTTCCCTTTTATTCTCTATTCCTTTTATTCCTGGCCCCTTTTTTAGTTTTGCCTGTTCATTATTTTTCTTTAATCGTCTTTATTATTTTCTAGGGCCCCGAGACTGTGTCCAAAACGTGAGGTAAAGTGATATTCCGACAGTTACGCCATCTGTCATCAAGCTACAGGAGGAACAGGAGGAACAGCACATCTGTGAATCATCAAATAAGGTAAGCGGACTTCTAGATGTTACCACTGCTAGGCTAAATTTCGGCTATTAGTACCTTAAATAGTTTGCACCACCTGCTAGCGTTGACTTGACTAAATTTTAACTGTCAGCGGAACTAATCACACATTTTGCGTCACTATATAATCGAATGCGTAAAATTCGAAGAATTCAGAGATAACTCTATCAATAGTGTTGAAGAAAAGGTAAGTACTTCATTTTAAATGATAGTCTACCGGAAGTCTTAGTAGAGTATTCAAAGTTTGCTTATTGTAGGTTATGCTTTCACATGACTATAAAGCTTCCGTCTAGCGGATTGGGTGTGGAGCAGGATTAGTAACCGATTCACCGCAGATGTAAATTATACAAAATGTTGAGAGACTGTATAGAGACTGTTGTGAACCACTTCGTGAACCACATGTGGTATTAAAAGACATTGCTCGTGGATGAGTATTAAAAAATTTGTAACTAGTTTAACAAGATTGTTACTTGCTTAGTTAAATGAATTATGGAGTTCAGTTCCTGAACCCATGATGGGCCTCTGAAACCCTTTTCTCCACCGGGCACGGTATGGGTATGGAGTGCATAATTAATGACTAGTATCTCGAGAGAGGTTCTGGACGAAGAGACTGAGAACCTACATATGGTAGTCGAGGCTCTGGACGGAAGAACCTGCGAATCCTTGTATAGTAGCTGAGGTACTGAGCGAAGAAACTCAAAGACCAACCTGTAATAGTTGAGGATCTGAGCGAACACCCCTGGATGTCTGTCGAAGAAGTACTCGTTCAGGACGGGGTCGTAGTTGGCCAGCGCCTCCGTCAGTCTCGAAAGTCGGGTGGCCGGAATCTTCTTCAGGGTCGCCTTATAAGTCTCGAACCTACAGAGGCAGAGTGTTATTTTCCTCAGAGTAGTCAGGTTTTGTTGGTGTTAGCGCGCGCGTGTGTGTGTGTGAGTAGTTCATGTGTAGAAACAAAATCAAGCCGATTATAATAGCTGTAAGAAAATCGGAAGTTCCCTAAACAGGATCAAATTAAAACAGTCAATTATGTTAAAACAGGCAAATTTTGGGTTATAAATTTGATTTTACTTTAAATTGAACCCGAAAATTTACTTTAAATTTTACTTTAAACCCGAACATTACAATTTGTAAAGTTAAAAATTAATATTTAAATTACTGGCATTGGATGGAAAGCGTAAGCTATGTTTATGGATATATATGTTAAAGTTAAAGGATGTTATGTTATCCTATGTTAAAGGATATTTACGAAAATTTAACTAAAAAACACCGCTCAATAAGTTTGCAGGTTTTGCGATAAAAGTCATGATTGCTGAAGCAAAGAATGGAATACGCCATAGTCATGTAAAGTATTAAAATACATAAAGCTTATAAGTCAATATCTGTTCCACGCAGCTCAAAGCATCAATACTTCCTCTAATAAATCTCTTTATTTGGAAACGTGACTTCCTCCAGCACATTCCACTCATTTAAATACTAGACTTCCTTCAGCACATCCCGGTCAATGGCCTCCACTGGCTTCCTCCAAATACTAGGGCCTCCTCCAGCACATCCCAATCATTGAAGCACTAAGCCTTCTCCAGCACATCCCAATCATTGAAGCACTAAGCCTTCTCCGGCACATCCCAATCATTGAAGCACTAAGCCTTCTCCAGCACATCCCAATCATTGAAGCACTAAGCCTTCTCCGGCACATCCCAATCATTGAAGCACTAAGCCTTCTCCGGCACATCCCAATCATTGAAGCACTAAGCCTTCTCCGGCACATCCCAATCATTGAAGCACTAAGCCTCCTCCGGCACATCTCAATCATTTCAACATGAATCATTATCTATGTCATTAAATAATAACAAAAAATACGACACTGCCATCCGGGTAAAAAACCGTAAACGAGTTTGGAAAAAGAGCTTTGCTAAAACGTTCATTAATTATTATAATGTAATAACCCGTGTTTACCTCTTTGTCATTAAAGCTCAGGGAACACCTGGATGGGACACAAGAGCTATGGTAAACTAGACTTTATAACCTGTGGCTTAAGGGCGGCAATTTCTTAGAGGGATATACTTTTTAATCTGGAAAACTCCCCTCATTCCCAACTTTCCATTTCAATGTCCATCACTCTCCTATTCCATTCCCCCCCCCCCCTGTCTTCCCCTCTCCCTCTCCCTCGTTACCCCTGCCGTCCCCCCTTCTATCTCTTCCTCCCTTCTCCCTCCTGCCTATTGCATATTCCTGACGTCTGAAGTATTACAGTCCATATGCAGGCGATGAGTCACAATAACGTGGCTGAAGTATGTTGACCAGACCACACACTAGAAATTGAAGGGACGACGACGTTTCAGTCCGGTCTGGACCATTCTCAAGTCGATTGTGATGAGGAGGTAGGGGCAGGCAATAAATTTGTATAAATTTATTATTTATTTATTAATAAATAAATTTATTACAGTCCATTTTATCTAGGCACTAATATAGCTGCTGTTGTTGTATTGTTTGGAGTTGTTGTTTATAACTGTCAATGCTTCTTCTTTTATATTTTAAGAGTTTTGAAGAACAAGGATGATTGGATTTTGTATTGATAAGATTTTGCTTAGATATTAAAGTAACGTATTGGTAATGATGTTATAGTTAGAGTGGCAGTAGCAAGACCAGAAACGTTATATGTTAACTAAAACTTGTCTATAATTCCACCCGTTTCTCGTCTATCATACTTAGTGTCTACTTATTATGTCGCAATAATGTCTATAATATCATAACTGATTGATCATACATACAGTTGGTTTATGTCACCACTAATTTATCATACATCTTCTTTTGTTTAACATTGCAATAGCTTCCTTAGCATTTTCTCCAGGCTGTCTGTCGCACTTTATTCTGTCCATTTCATCACTAGTCCGTGAAAGCTTCACCCAGTCACGGAACTAGCCTGAAAATCATATACCTCAAACCCCCATTATCATGTCTCGAGCCCTATCTATCGTGGACCTCTAATTTCCTCTGCAGTGCATTCAATTATCTCTTAACATACCTTTACTCGTCTCTGTCAATCCTTGAGTCTCTGTATCGTACTTTTAGTATTTTTCTCATGAATGGCAATCTTCTGTGACATAATTCTAGTCTTTCATACCTTCAACCCTTATTTCATTATCATACCTCCAGCCTGCTTTATCATATACTAGCACCCCTCGCTGCTATATCTGCAGCCCCAATCGTACCTACAGCCCTCACTCTCATGATTTCCGTCCTCTCTCTCTCTCTCATACCTCGAGCCTGTTCTATCTAGCCTGCATCCCATTCTATCATACCTCCAGCCTCTCCATCTTCACCAGGTCATCATCCCTCACTCTGGCACCGACCTCCACGGTAACTATCTCTCCTGTGCAAGTTCTTACATCTAACATGGGATTTATATCTCCCATTCTGTAGGTTTTCTGTTTTCTCTGGATTTATGATGTTATAAAGATTTTTCTCTATCAATATATATATTTTTAATCTCAATTTATCTTTGTTATTATAATACCACTGAAAAGTAAAATTAGGTTCGACGTCAGAACGGACGATGTTTTAACAAAGATTTTTTTTTGTGTTAATAGCGTATTTGATGTCTATGTAATTCGCTTATTCATTCGTTTTGGGGGTTTTCAGTTGAGAACGTGATTTTCATTATGATTAAGAAGGCGACTTACATGAAATTTGAGTCGATCTCAATTTTTTTTTAATTATTCACTTCGGTGTATCATTGAAATTATAATATTAAGAACACTTTTATATACAAATAAATACGCAAACAATCCCATTCACATTGTAAATTTGTGGACTGTCTTGTGTTGGAGATAAACGGAAGATATCACACCTAATGAGGGATTACCAAATCAAAATAGTCATAATGCGGTAACAGCCATTAGAATGGAAAGATTGTACCTGCGGAGTTCCACAAGTATCTGTAATAGGCTCATTCATTACATTACATTCAGTGACAGTGTCAGACCACGGAGGAAGAATTGAAATAGGAATTTCCTTAAGTACTTTCGTATATTAATACATCTTCAGAAGGAATAGGAATGAATCGATTCCCATTCCTTCTGAAGATGTATTAATATATGAAAGTACTTAAGGAAATTCCTGTTTCAATTCTTCCTCCGTGATCTGACACTGTCACATCTTTCAATGTACATTAATGACACTATGTAAAAGACACATCTAATACTTTATGTAGGGCGTACGTAAATCTGTGTATCTTTGTATTTACGTATGTAGGTTAGCTTAGCATTTTAAAAGCACCGAATCACCTTCTGTGGTTGAGTGTTCAATAAACCCCTGAACTGTATGTTTAACACTTCTCTAACCCTGTCCATGGAGGACAGAAGAAAATGTATATATGCTGGTTAGCATTGTAAATGTGTGGCCACGTCTGTGGTAGAAAATAATAAAAAAAAAAAAAAAAAAAAAAAAAAAAAATCTTTCATCACGTGTTAATTTTCGTGATTTACACACATTACATTCAGTATGTAATTTATGTGTACAAATGACACAGAAGATATGAAACTCTATTTTTTGCAAAAAAACAAAACAAAATTGAGGAAATCCTGGACAATACAAAAATTATCTAATAAGTGGGTAAAAGATCTAATCTTCAGCAAATGCAAAATAATGAAGACGGGGACTTGGGAACCGCAGACTGGACAGCAAGTGAAATATAGAGCAGGAAAACTTTTTATAAAGTTTTTATAAAAGTAAAGAAAAATATATTAAAAATAGCGAAAACTTCTGCAGGACAATTGGTCAATACGCGATAGCTCCTATTTACTTCTAACCACACTTACACCTATTTATGTCTAACCTTCGCTTGAAACAATCCAACGGTAACTAGTCTAATATGCTACCTTACAGTAGGCATCGTACCGTACCTATCTCCTGAGACACTCATAGTAAGAGAATAACATTAGCTGCTTAAGCAAGGTTTGCCAACAATAAGATTGCCGTCAGAAATTTGAACAAGGACTATTTCAAGACTTTGCATACCACATACGTCAGACTAATTCTGGGATTTGCGACTTTGGCATGCTAATCACCTTTCATCGAAAGCCAAGCTTTTAGGATTGAGTTTCGAGAAAACTTAAATAATTAAAAGTTTTTTTACTGAACGTGAGAAGAAACGGTGAGTAAATGGCCATGATAAACGTAACAGATATCGAAATGAATCACTCAGAATTCAGATGAAAACAAATTTAGTGTCAGGTTGGTAATGAACAAAGAAATATAGTGCAATTCTCCGTACACGATTTAAAATGTACGTACAACAGAATCGAAACTGTTCAGAAACCTTTACAGTAGTCAGCTTAAGGTTGAGATATTGGCTCCAAGAGCTTAATTTCAACCCCCGCAACCACTGATAGGTGAATGCAATAAGACATTCACAAACACGCTCACATACAAGCTGATAAATAAGCTCTCTCTCTCTCTCTCTCTCTCTCTCTCTCTCTCTCTCTCTCTCTCTCTCTCTCTCTCTCTCTCTCTCTCTCTCTCTCTCTCTCTCTCTCTCTCTCTAATCCATCTTACCTAATGCCTCCCACATTGAGGATAATTCTGTTCTCTCCATCCATGGCGTCGGTGTGGTAATGTGTTGTGTGGTGGGAGTGTGGTGGTTTACATCACGACTCCGTAGGGGCCTGGTAACACCTCTGGCTCACCATCGCCCCTCACCATACCTCCTCACCATCACCTGCTGCGCCGACACCACCACCACCCAACACACTGGCTCAACTCCGCCATACTGGAAAACAAGACAAGAAGAATAGTTAAATATTTCAAAGGTTTCTGGAATGAATAATGATAAATATTTATATTATATCATATATGATGAACACCTATAACAGTAAACAAATAAATCACGTGACCAAAGACTGACGCAATGCAGATACGAAGGCATACAATAAAAGCATACATGATTTTTTTTATATGATGATACATGAAACTGTTTTTGTATCTTTTAAAAACTTGTAAGACTCAGCTTTTGGACTTATACAGAAGATTTAGGCCTAGGTTGACAATTTCTGGAAGATGTAAGCTTAGAAACGTTCAGTAATGAATGCACAGACGAATAAGACTTCATCACATCAGTCTTATGTCAACACAAAAGTCTTCAGCAAGCACAAATTCACCAACAAACTCCTAACAAATAGACTCGACAAAAACATAGATACACAAACGCAGTAAGACTCATAAAGATTCCGTATAAAACACTGATGACATTTACAGACCCTCCCTCCTCTCCCAGCCGGAGAGGAGGGAGGGTCCCTCCCTCCTCTCCCTCATCATCTCCAGGAATGGGGGTAATTCCACTAAGAAGGATTCCACTGATGCTGAACTAGATCCTGTAGGCGGCGGAGACACACATAACACCATCTTGTGATCTAGTGCTGGGCAAGAAATTGCTTCCTTTCATTAACTGATAGCCATAGTCTTATCATAATGGTAAGAATACTTACCCGAATATACATATCTAATACAAAATTCAAATCAAGTGTGATAGAATAAAATATAATTAAATGTTCAGAGCGAGTCTGCAAGGTCTTCTTTGCATGACTTTTATTCTCTTCTACCGAGACTATGGGTCCCCACAATTGCACCAGAGGTTATCACCCCTGAATAATTATATATATATATATATATATATATATATATATATATATATATATATATATATATATATATATATATATATATATATATATATTCGAACAAGCTTCAATGGTCCCCAAGCCGATTTGCAACTGAAAACTCCACACCCCCAGAAGGATTCGAACCCAGAGAGCCAGGAGTATTATGCGCCTTGGCGTACCTGGTTCATATATATATGATATATATACATATATATATATATATATATCTTAGATACAGTTATTCCACATCAGGAAAAAGTAATATTAGCATCATTCCCCCCTCATTTTAATAACACCAAGAGGAACAACTTCCGTCTCACAACATCGTAAACCAGCAGCATTTCCCGTCATCAAACAGAAAAGGAAAATCGTTGGCTTTAAGTGCTTGCATCGCGACAGTGGTCCGCCTGGGTCACATTTGGCATCTCGCGAGCTGAGAATGGACTGTGTGCGTGTTTTGAGAACCGAAAAGTTTCTGGAAGTCATATAAGACAATATATTTTTAGGTTTGAGTGAACTGTGTGCAAGACTACACATAAGGGGCATAACTGGCCGACCCCTCACAGTGTTCAAGAGAGAACTGGATAAGCACTTCCAAAGGATACCTGATCAACCAGGCTGTGACTCGTACGTCAGTCTGCGAGCAGCCGCGTCCAACAGCCTGGTTGATCAGTCCGGCAACCAGGAGGCCTGGTCGACGACCGGGCCGCGGGGACGCTAAGCCCCGGAAGCACCTCAAGGTAACCTCAAGGTAAGCACCTACAAAATCACTATCTTTTATATCACAGCTTCAATGAAAGAAAATGTTTTCATTTTGGATTTAAGTTTAACTGTTACACTGGTGAGTATTAGGCTATGTTTGATAATTGTTGACTTTATGCGCATTTAACCCATTAATATTACTCCCATAATTCCACACGTCACATTTTATTTGTGGCATTTCGGCCTTAAATCTCGTTTGTTTTGTCGGTGATATCACCTGAAATGTTTTAGAAGGTGGCAATATTATCTGTCTGATAAGAGAACTCAGACCAGTGCAACGGAAGATTTAGTTCGATCACAGTAACTTCTGCCCAGTGATACAGTGTGTTGTTGACCAGACCACACACTAAAAAGTGAAGAGATGACGACGTTTCGGTCCGTGCTGGACCATTCTCAAGTCGATTCTGAAGTGAATCGACATGAGAATGGTCCAGGACGGACCGAAACGTCGTCGTCCCTTCAACTTCTAGTATGTCATCTGGTCAACATTCTTCAGCCACGTTATTGTGACTCATCGCCTGCATACAGTGTGTTCGAGGCATGACTGCATCCCTCATAGCGTTTGATGGTGTTGTTAAGATTTTAATATTAAACTGTATAAACCGGTTTAGGACAGGAGTACCTTTGAGGTGACAGCAAGTATTAAAACTTAAGTTGAGTGCTCCAGTGGATATTGGAGTAGGTGAGTTGGAGAGTTCCCTGCCTTTGAACTGCGGTAGACAGGAGTAGTCGCTCTTCTGGTCCAATGAAAACTGAACCCCAAGTTCAGAAACCAAAGTTCGGAGAGACTTCCGCAGGAATGCGAAGTTATCCCCCCAACAGCGCAATTCAGGATGTCAGTCTGGTTAGGTTGCTGGTTCCGACTAGTCAGGGTACGCAAGATTCGAACTCCTGTCGCAGCGTTTAAGTGCGTTTATTATCACCAGAGATAAAGGAAATAAAGAACTCGCTGAAATTGACGACCCAAATGAATTGTGTTGAATATTATTAATGATATACATGAACTTTAAATGGCGCGCCCAGACAGAATCGGGAAGTGTATTAATAATATTTGGGATTTTGCAAATATTTTCCTTTGTTAAAAGCCTGGGTTGATTGAGTGTATCTCAGGGGGACCTTATGCTGATTGGTTGTTCAATCTACTAGGTACTTACTACCAGTATTAATCGAGTTGTCTGGTTGAAATTACCAGTATTAATTCAGCGGTTTGGTCTACCAGTATTAATTCAGCTGTCTGGTCGCTATTCCCAGTATTACGCTACCTGTCTAGTCGCCACTACCAGTATTAAGCCAGCTGTCTAGTCGCTACTACCTGTATTAACCCAGCTGTCTGGTAGCTATTACTAGTATTATACCAGCTGTCTGGTCACTAATAATCGTGTCCACTCACTTTATGTATGGACATTAATACTCAATTGCAAACATGCCAAATATACTCACAGTTAATGTAGCTTATAGTAAAAAATGTATGCTGTTTGTGTAATATTTGTGTATGCTTTCACGTATAGTTAAATTTTCATGAAAAAAAGGTAATTCATAAAACTTTGTTTTCTATCAAATTAACATATATTAGGAATGAATATGCGATGCATTAAACCACTTCAGTGAATTTAACCAAACAATATTTCAATAGCTGTGGTTGTTCGTCAGCTGGGATTATTCCCTATGGCCCAATTGGTGGGACTCCTTTCCATCACATAGCTTTCATATCCCTGTTTCTTATTCAGAGATCCCAGCTCCTTGTTCTCACATCCCAGCTCCTTATTCAGAGATCCCAGTTCCTTGTTCTCACATCCCAGCTCCTTATTCAGAGATCCCAGCTCCTTGTTCTCACATCCCAGCTCCTTATTCAGAGATCCCAGTTCCTTGTTCTCACATCCTAGCTCCTTATTCAGAGATCCCAGCTCCTTGTTCTCACATCCCAGCTCCTTATTCAGAGATCCCAGTTCCTTGTTCTCACATCCCAGCTCCTTGTCCTCGTATATCTTCCATGCTCTATATTGTCATATTGCCTTAACGTTTTCTCATTTCCTTCCCTTGAGGGTTGATAAGAAACAAGTCCAAGAGAAAATGAGGAATAATTGTGTCTGTATTGTGACTTGACATTTCTCATCACTATGTTGTGCTATTTTTCGGCCCTATCGAGTCAGGTTAAATTTAAATTGTTGTATACCGTATTAACATATTTTTTTAATACATTCTAAAAAACATCAAATCAAATCGATCTTTATTGTTTGTCTCCCTATACTATTTGATTGTTTTTGGAGGAGGAGGAAATTTACTCATGCTTATTATCAACATAATTTTCAGGGTATTGAACGTGTGTTGTTATCCACAAAGTTGTGCACGAATGAGAAACGTTTGGTCTATATAACAATATATTCTCATACACGCCCGAGCTATCAGGAGAGATTACGACGTTATATATATATATATATATATATATATATATATAATATATATATATATATATATATATATATATATATATATATATATATATATATATATATATATATATATATATATATATATATATATATATATATATTAGGACAGGAGTACCCTTATATATATATATATATATATATATATATGTCGTACCTAATAGCCAGAACGCACTTCTCAGCCTACTATTCAAGGCCCGATTTGCCTAATAAGCCAAGTTTTCATGAATTAATGTTTTTTCGTCTACCTAACCTACCTAACCTAACCTAACCTAGCTTTTTTTGGCTACCTAACCTAACCTTACCTATAAATATAGGTTAGGTTAGGTTAGGTAAGGTTGGTTAGGTTCGGTCATATATCTACGTTAATTTTAACTCCAATAAAAAAAAATTGACCTCATACATAGAGAAAAGGGTTGCCTTATCATTTCATAAGAAAAAAAATATAGTAAATATATTAATTCAGGAAAACTTGGCTTATTAGGCAAATCGGGCCTTGAATAGTAGGCTGAGAAGTGAGTTCTGGCTACTAGGTACGACATATATATATATATATATATATATATATATATATATATATATATATATATATATATATATCCTGTTGTTTCAGGTGCTGATTAACAAATGACGAGTCTAACACTTAAGAGATGTCATCTATTTTTCTGTGTTGCCAGTTTTTCTGACTGTCATGTCATTCTTTCTGTCAGTCTAGCTGTCTGCTTGTCACTCGTTTGACACCCAGTAAAGAACGGGATATCTTCATCCCCCTTTCTCATTGGTTGTCTGCGACTCAAACTAGAGCCAATCAGCATTTAGAGAGCTCTAAATGTAGGTGGGGCTACAATTAGCGAGGGAGAGAATTATTACGACTGCTTTAAGTGGTGAGGACAGTAAATTGT